TCTAATAACTATCTTTTATTCAGAACTGTAGTCATTTAGACCTACAGAAAACCTTAGAGAACATCTGTCAGTTGACTGCCAGTTTTTACAGATAAGAAGATAGGGGGTTATGGGTATGGGTTTAAACTGACAGTTAACCCTCATCTACGAGTTTCTAGTAATAAGTACTTTGTCATAACCCGTTCACCTACCTATAACTGGAGACTGTGAGGCAAGAACGTGTCTTTTAATGAAAGTAACTTCTTAAGCATTTTCTCTTGAAAACTAGGCAAATGTTTTCAGTTATCTGATGGAGTATAAATATAAGATGTCTCTATATGTCATCATATATATATATAGGTTTGTTTTTTTGGTTTTTTGGGTTTTTTTTGAGACAGGGTCTTACTCTGTCTCCCAGGCTAGAATGCAGGGTGGCTTTATCATAGCTCACTGCAACCTCAAGCTCCTGAACTCAAGCAGTCCTGCCTCATCCTTCTCAGTAGCTGGGACTACAGGTGTGCGCCACCACACCTGGCTAATTTTTCGTAGAGACAGGATCTCGCTCTTGCTTAGGCTGGTCTCGAACTCCTGGCCTCAAGTGATTCTCTTGCCTTGGCTTCCCAAAGTGCTAGGATTACAGGTGTGAGCCACCGCCCCTAGCTAGCCTCTATATGTCATTATATTTAAGATACTTTCTACTATTCTCAAAGGCCAAATTTTTATAGAACTTTTTTTTTTTTTTTCCTTTAACAAGATCTTGCTCTGTTGCCTAAGCTGGAACACAGTGATACAATCACAGCTTACTGCAACCTTGAACTCCTGGGCTCCAACAGTCCCCCTGCGTCAGCCTCCCAAGTAGCCAGGACTGCAGGTGTGCTCCACCTGGCTAATTTTTTAATTTTTTGTGGAGACAGGGTCACACTATGTTTGTTACCCAGGCTTGTTACAAACTCCTGAGCTCACATGATCCTCCCACTTCAGCCTTCCAAAGTGCTAGGATTACAGGTGTGAGCCATCACACTTGGCCTTAGAAAACATTTTTTAAGTTTATTAGAATATTTAGAAATGTAGGATGATAGAGAAGAAAACTATAAAAGAAAGGAGTTTGGGGATTATAGGAGAAAGGAATAATGGGGAGAGAAATAGAA